TAATCCCAGGCTCTGCCTGCACCAGCAAATTGGGTACCTAACAATCAGTTGATTATCAGGTCCTGGGGCTGCCCCAAGACAGACGGGACAGTCCTGATTAGCTGATCTTCATCTGGCAGGGACCACTCTCAGGCTTGAATCCTGGTATAGTCCTAGACAGCCGACAACATAGGATGGCCCTGGGGCTGGAATCACTAGGGTGCGGGGGGGATGGGTTTCCAGTCCTCCCTAGGTCCCTGCAACATGTTCAATTTAAGGTGTGATGGAAACCAGCCACAAAGGTATTATGCATGTTTTGTATAATACCTTTGTAACTGCTTTTCCTGCTTTACTGTACCATTAATCCCCGGAATGCGTGGCTAGTTTACACTTTAAGACACGATTAACTGGATAATCATGTCTTAAGTGTAACGTTTGCCGGCAGCCTCAGTCACACAACAATATTTTTGCTCTTTATCTGATCAATAAACTTTTTGAAAATGGCAAGCAATAATCAAACTCCACTTCAATAACAAAGTTGTGAAACTTCTGGGATTTGACAACACTCAAAAATTGTGAACAACAAATCACAGGTAACAACGGTGAAATAAATTTCCTGCTTTTTAAATGAAAATACTCAAATCACTTTTTTGTATTATTCAATCTCCTCTAATCATAACACTGATATTAAATAATTTCTTTTTAATTCCATGAAGGGGAAAGTCCTAAAATGATCAGTATTCCCTTTCTGTTTATATATAAACTGTTTGGTGCTTATAGATCCCACAATACTTTAATCAAAACAGGACACATGCATACTACTACTATGCTTGAATTACACAGAATCTGTACTTTTCATTTCAGAAACTCCCATGCTTCTTGAACTGTTTTCAAGCTATAGACCTATTTAACTGAAGGGGAGAATAGATACAAAACAAAGTGCTAATTGTAACAAACAATAACTTCTAATTATTGCCCTGAGAAATTTCTGTAAGTTCAAAGAAAAATCTGATTTGCATTTTTTAAAGTTGCCCCAAGCCATTATGCACATGTAGTGCATGCGCGCGCGCGCACACACACACACACACACACACACACACACTTACAGCAGGGTCCTAAATGTTAAGTGTTAGTTACTTCATACAGGGCTTTTAAGGGAACAAATACTTACATACAAATTGTTTAGCTAAACTACAGTAAAACGACTGGAGCAGTTATCAACAATGCTATATATTCAGTTGTTTTATCAGTAGTTTCATATAAAAGCACACATCTTTTAAAATGCACATAACTCCCCAAAACAAAGCTCAACAAAAAAACCCCAAGCCTCCCTCCCTTCAAATCTGTGAGCTATCTCATGATGCAACGCTTTATATGATTTCCAGGCAACTTAGGTAGAAAATCAGAATAATTCGAGGCAAACTCAGTTAAATATCAGAACCATACAAACCCCCACATCACACAGACCTGTATCAGACCTCCTCTCAAGTCAACATGGAATTTTGGAATGGTGTGCTCTGGCCCTGGATTGCCACTGTGCTTACACCACTTGGCTTCTACATTGGCCGAACAGCTGAAAGGACCTATGAGAGTTCTGCTCCTTTCCTTGAGACTGGTTTTAAGAAGAAAATCATCTATATCAAGTACAAAGGATGATCCATGAATTACACCTGAAAAAGAAAATATATAGTATTTAGCATACTGAGATGTCTGTGCTCCCAAGAAAAAGTTTTCCTAGAAACATGTATATTTTTTGATTTTCCCACTATCAGGGCTGGATTGTGAATCCTTACTCTTATGGTAAGCAGCTACTCACACAAGTAGCTCCACTGAGTTCAGTGGAAGTACTGGTATGAATAAATGCTCTCCAATTTAAGTGAAAGGTTCACAGTTTGGCTGGAGGCCTTTTGGTTCTTTTTCAACATACTTCCCAGAATTATTGAGTGCACTTTATACTGAGATGTAGTTATGAAGCAGGTATATTTCATGCACATTCCTTACAAAGTACTATTTGCCAAAGCATTATGACTTTTTACATGTGTGAGTATTTTAAGGTTTATGAGTAGAGACATTTTTCATTAACTATACCATTTTTAAAAGAGTATATTAAAAATAAGAACAGCTGCTTCACTTGATTATATTTTAAACTGATAGGAAATAGCCATTCTGATTCGCTCTGCTTTCATTCAGGTTTATTAATAGAAAATAATGCCCCGCCTGAGTCTAAAGTTCTTAACAGGAATAGTTTTATGTTTGATTTTAAATAATTCAAAACAATCATGGCAACTCAAAATATATAACACGTGTTTACTTAAAATATCAATTTAATTCAAACTTTTCACATCATAACCATTTGCAGTTTACATAGTTTATAAAAGATTAAAAAAGCAATAGCAGATTCAATTTATGATAGAACTTATATATTGTCACTAAAGATAAACATTTAAGAAAGAAAAGACCACTAAAAATTGTAAGTTCTTTGCTGCAAATCAGAATGATTTAAATAAACTGCATCTAAAATTTCTTTACCTTTTTGAACATGTAGATGCAAACTATGATGCTGGATTAATTTTTCCCCTTTTGCTGCTCATATTTGGAATTGTCATTGTGAATATTGAATGCCACTGTACTTAGTCTGTAGTGCCCATGGCTTATTTTTCTAATGAAATTTGATACTTGCAAAAGATGAAAGATTAAAAACACCTAAAGCCTATAGTATGCAGATTTTTACTACTTTATATTTGAAAACTTTGCTAAAAGAAATAGCCCACTACAACTGAAATCTATCCTGTCTATATACCTATATTAAATATGGGTGGAGGGACGGAACTTCAATTTCAGAAACTGGGAAAATGTGTCCGCATCCTACAAATGGTCTGATAGTAACCATGATGTCAACATTAATTTTAAAACGTACTGATCT